GGATGACATTTTATTACAAGGGCCAACTTGGCTCTTGTATTCTGTTTCTTCTCTTCCCTTCCTCCCTTTCTTCATTATCCTTAAAAAATTAGATTTTCCCCTCTGCCAATCAGCAGTTGCAAAAAGTCCTCCAAGAAAAGTCAGGATGCCAGAAAGGCGTACCTGGGGGAGGCGGAATTGCATGGCAGTGGGGTACAGGGGCTCCAGAGTTGGCCACTGTGTGGCCTCCAACAAGTATCTTACCTCCTCTACGCCTCAGTTTCCTTCTCTGTAAAGTGTGGGTGATGATGTTTACTTTTTAGTTGTCTTGAAGATGAGGGATGATGATGCTTAGCACAGTGTCTGGCACTTTTCAGCAAGCTTCACGATCCACTGTTGTCATCAGGACTTTTGTCATTCTCAGTTCTGCCACACGTTTTCCCTGTGTCCTTGAGCAAATCGGCTCCTTTCTGTGGCCCCCTTGTTCCTCATCTGCCAACTGAACTCTCCGCAGTTAATAACTCCAGCGATGTTTGAAAAAACAGCAAAAGCAGTTGAACAGAAACAACAATAATCCAAAAACCCACCCCGATTCCTGGGTAGGATAATGTCATTTCGCTCAGGACTGCTCTCAGTAAGTGGGCCTCTCCTCTCAGAAGAGCCTGGAACCTCTCTGTTCCTCAGAGCTGCCAACACTGGCCTTGTTCTGTGGTCTGATCTGCTGGCGACCTCTGTCCGCACACTTCTGAGACCGGCCAGGGGCCCTGGCACAGTCACACTGCACAGCCCGCCAAATTGAAAGGCCCTTTCTTTTGAGCAAATAGCATCATACACGTTGCCATCAAGAAAATGAAAGCATTTGCAGTGGCGCGGCATCCAGCTTCTCTCTGTGGCCTTTGGAAACAATTTTGTGACCAGAGAATGGTTGGAGACAAAGGTCTTTCTATCTGATCTGCTCACCAGGCTGGCATAGGATCGTGGGGGGCCTGTGTCCCTCTTTTCTGGCACCACACGGATTGATATCACTGCATTTGTCTCCTCTCTTTGATTAGGACAAGGCAGGCAGGCAGCAGAGGGTTATATTTCAACTGCCCTTGACTCTGTTTATAATCACAAACATGAAAGGAAGGGAAAGAGATTGAGTTTATAGGACTGGTTCTTTGTGTAGCCTAATTTATCTCTCTCAGGCAGCAGTGGGCTGAGCAAGTTTCCTTTTTGTTTCCAATGCAGGAAACTGAAATATGAATCTATGTTGATGAGAGAATAAAGGAATTGAAAGAGGCATAAATCTTATCTTCTTGCAACCCTAGAAGATCAGCTTCTTGTGAAGAAGGGGATTATACTTCTGTAATTAACTGCTTTGCAGCTCCTGGTGATGGCTCAGAGCTGAATAATAGCACCCAGCCAAGTTGGATAAAAGACTGTCGGGTGGGCGGGTGCGGCCGCTCATCGTGAACAATGGTCTCAGGGCTTGACATCCTTTCCCAGTGCCCCGTGCTCAGAGAGTCCAACCAGGAGATATTTGTTCCCTGTCTATCAACATTCACAGCAGAGAATAAAATTCCAGAACAAATAGCTCAAAGAGACCTGTTTCACTGGAGGCTGGTAGCTGCAATGAACTGCCTCAAAGGACCAAGCGAGGTTCTACACCTCTTTGTGTTCCAACCAGTGCCCGGGACCTGTTAGGTGCTTATTGAATGCTGGTTGGAGGTGACTGCTTCTCAGCCGCTATGCTGTCTTAGGAAAGTTGCCTCAGTTCTCTGATCTTCAGAGTTAATCATCCACACAATGCAGGGGGTTCTTATGGAATTCTTGTGAGGAAGAAATCAGATCATGAGTATAAACAAATTGCTTAGTACAGCCTGGCACATGGCAGGTGATCAATAAATGGTAGCTATTATTATTATATTGTGAAATAAAAATGGATTGTGGATGCATAGCCATTATAATAGTCAGTGTTTATGAGGCTTCCCCTATGCAGACACTGCATACCTATTAGTACATGAAAGCCCCACAGCATCCCTCTCAGGTCAGCAGGATTCTTTCCCCCCATTTCACTGGTGACAAAATGGGCTCAGAGTGGAACGATGATCTGCTATGGTTAGGAGCAGGAATGGAGACTGACACCCAGGTCTTTCCCTTGTCCCTTTTTCCTTAGCCCCTGCCCCTCAGTACTGGAGTCACAGGTACTCAGCCCCTCAACCCACTGTACTCTGAAACTCACAGGATCAAGCTTCTGAGCCATCTGTGTTTCCTTTTTTCCTCCATGCTGCATGCTGAAATCTCTAGGAATCCTAGAGATTCTTCTTTTGAGATGTTTCCAAAACATCTCCCTTCTTCAATCCCACTGCTACTCATGCTGGTACAGACCCTCGGTTCATGACAACCAGGCTTCCTACATCAAGCAGGCACCCGAGTAGTGTCTCAGGCCCAGGTCCTCTTTCTGTCACCCGTCACATCAGTGTCAGATGAGTGATCCCTCACCCCACTCTCCTGTCCTTCCCCCCTGAGGGAGCAACAACCACTCCCCTGCCATATTAAGTCAGTTCCATGTTCCTTTCCTGGTATTTAAAGCCCTTTAGCTGACCCACCCAAACTTGTCTTCCTACTCACAGTCAGAACCTCGGGTCCAGCTGAGCCTGTCTCAGTTGCCCTCAGGCAGGCACCCGCAGCCACTCTGTGGGCTCAAAGGATTAGACCCTTGATAAAGACTCAAATATCCGCATTCAGTGCACAGTTAAGTGTTTAACAGAGTTATGGAACATAGAGATCATGTCTTCCATTCACCCACCCATTTTACAGATAGAACCCAAGGTCCAGAGAAGCTCAATATCATGCAGTGAATTAGTTTCAGAACCAAGTCTCAAAGCTAGGCCTTTAAGCTTAGAATTCAGCGTTCTTCCATTGGGTCAATAGGCCATACCACCTTCAGTAATGACTGGCTGCCCGTGGCTGGCAGGGGCAATTTATTTAGTCCTCAGTTTACATATGGGCCCTGGACCTGTGTGGTGCCCCAGAGGGTCAGCCTGAAGCCTGCTGAGGCTCTGAGGTAGGTGCTGGGGACAGGGATGTGATGGGCAGAGGCTGGGTGGTGGCAGCAGCAGAGGTGGGGGTGGGAGATTGAGATTTAGGGGGACTGTTGTGTATCTCAGCAGCTGTAAGACAGATGAAAATGGGGCTGAGTGCCAGGCCAAGCAGTGTGCTGTGGGAACATGGCAATTAACTTCTCTATTTGGATGGGAGATGGGATCCAGGAGGGCTTTAGGGAAAAAGTGACCTGTGACTCTGAAGAACAAGAAGGACTATGTTCATGGCACCAGAGGTCAGATAATCTGGATGGAGGAGCAGCATGGACAGGGCAAGACTACCTGGCATGTGCATGGTGAACAGCGCAGCTACAGCAAGGGAGCCTGGAAAAGCAGAGGAACCTGGACTCCAGCTCTGACTCTGCATCTGGCCTGACCCCCTCAGGGTTTGGGCAAGTCACTTCACCTTCCTGAACCTCAGTGTCCTTGTATGTGAAATGGGCATCACGATGGTATCTGTCTCCTAAGGCTATTGTGGGGATTAACCTAAATAGTAAGGCACCAAATATGGGGCCTGGCACATAGTAGGTATTCAACAGAAGACCTAGTGTGGCTGGAGCTGAGGTTATTGGGCCACAGAGACAAACAGATATTTGGATGGCACTGTTTTCTTTTGCCTTCCAATGGGCCCTTTCTGCTCCTTCCAGGAGCTTACCAGCTGGCCTGGGAGGGCTGCTTGCCCACTCATAGTTGCCAAGATGTTTGGCTGTGCCCCCGTCCAGAACCATCTTCCGGTCCTGTCTTCATCCTTGAGCCCTTTCCAGCCTGCACCCAATAGGGTACTCGTGTTCCAGGTCTGCTAACGTTTGCTGGCAGAGCCCATGTTTGGGAGCGTGAGATGTGTTTAGGTAGAAACAGACACTGAAAACAGCTGCTGGCTTCTCTGCCATGGTAAACAGGGAATAAAGCCCCCCAACTGTGGGCTTCGCTGGGGAGTGGGGAGCACAAGGCAGGCCCTGCTTACTGTTGCTTTTGGGGAGGGGAAGGCCATTTTTATTTAGGGAGTGGGCCAGCCCCCTCAGGATTGGGTTGGGACAGGGGTGGGGTGAGCTGCATGGAGGGAGTTGGAAGCCCTCCCTCTCCCTGGACTTCTAGATGTTTGAAGACTCCATAGGCACTTTCTACTATTTGGTGTCTGTGAGACAGGGTCATTTCTTTAAGCCTCTGTGGATGGACCATCAGCAAAAGCAGTTTTTGGCATGTCCTTGTACTGTGTTGATGAGTGATGTCAAACTTACCTTCACATCAGCATCACTTGGTTGGTGCTGATTTAAACATACATATTCCCAGGCCCTTCCTGAGGCTCGCGGAATCAGAATCTCTGAGGGAAGGGCCCAGGAGCCTCCATTTTAACAAACTCTTCAGGCGATTCTGGTTCAGGCATTCAGGGAACTACACCTTGAGGACCACTGGCAGGTTTCTAACAGGTTATCTGGGAAACCAGGGGAAAGGGGCAGTCAGGAGGAGGAGAGGGCCAGCCCCACTGCCCTTAACATGCACGTCCTGTTATGCTTTTTGACTTGGACTTGGAAGCAGATGCTTTTAGATGCAGGTCTCCTTAGAAACAGATGCTATCCCTGTTCTAGAATATAGAATAGAGTAGTTCCCCTTCCTCTAGGTGTGCCTCGTTTGCTGTCCACCCACTCATCCATCTATCCACCCACCCACCCACCCATCCATCCACCCACCCTTTCATCCACTCACCCACACACCCACACGCCCACCCATCCATCCATCTACCCATCCTTTCTGGAGTGCCCACCTGCTTTGTGTCTGGCTCTGGGCTGAGCTTTGGAGACACCAGAACTCTCCATTTAGACAAACAGACACATAAATCATCATAATACAGGGGGATCTGTTCAATGATCAATGTCTCAAATAAGTACTGTGGTGGCACAGGCAGAGATGACACAATCCACTGGCAGGGAGAAGGGATCAGAGAAGGCTTTGGAAGACAGCAACCTGTGAGTGGGCCATAAACGGTGAACAGTTTGCTAGATAGAGAGGGTGAACATGAGGGTGTGTAGGAGGGAAGGTCAGTTCTGCGAACTAAATCCTTTCACATCCACATTCAGAGCAGGGGCCTATCCCTAGGCCCTATGGATCCCGTATTCAGAGGCTCATCTGTAGCTGCAACCTCTAAACTTGGCCCCATCTCCTGACATTTCTGAGTGAAAAGGAATCACTCTCTAGTGTGTGTGCTGCAGGCCCGTGGTGGCTGTCACAGTACAGTTATTGCGGAATTAACAGGTGAACAGCCATCCAAGTGGAGAGGCACAGAATACTTCCGGTCCTAGCTCTGTCTCCAACTCAGTGTGTAACTGTGGACCGTTTCGGCCTCAGTTTCCCCATCACTAAGATGGGAGATTGGCTGTCAACTCTGCCAGCTTCCTGCCTGGAGTGCAGCCCTGACACCCTGCCTGCAAGACACACGTTAGCAACGACCGTTCTCTCTACGCCAAACTCATTTGTCTGAGCATATCAGCAACACGACACCTCTCAGTTCAGTGGATTTGATGTGAGCTCCGGCCCCTGGCATACCTAGCATGTAATACCTGCAAGCTGAAAAGGAGCATTTGAAGGCAAACTGCATGGCAGGAGGAAGCCTGTAGGTGGCGCTGTGGCTCCGGTTGCCGAGCTGCTCTCCGAAGATCCATTTTCAGAGGATCTGGGAAAACCGGGCAGGGTTGATGGCAGCTCTTTCTTCTCGGTGCCCTCGCAGTGCAGCAGGCCCCGCTTATTTGCAAGAAGTAGCCAGGTCAGCCCACTGGGCCTCCCCACCCCTTGTGCCCCTTCGCATGTTTCAGAACACTGTCTTTTCCTCTGGGTCCTTCCATTCAGGAGAGGAGGAGGAGGAGGTGAGCCTGTTGAGAATGGCGTTGGTGGGGCAGGGGCCGGTTCCCCTGTTTCTGGGGAGCCTTTCTGTGCTGGTTGCAGGCAGGGGCCCTCAGTGTGGAGCTGCGGTGAGCCTGTACCCCGTCGTATTTGGATCACAGCCCCCGTGACCCCCAGCGCCCTCCAGGCACTCCACACCTGCAGTGATTCGCTTGGTATTTTAAAAGCACTCCATCTTCTGCCTGCTGCCTTCTCTCCATTTATCTGGGTCCGGCTTTTCGCCGGGCCATCTAATAAAGAATCCAGGGGGGAGAATGATGGGGGCGAGGAGAGGGAAAGTGCTAACATTTATTAAGTGCCCGCTGGGTGCCCAGCATTTCCTCAACAACCAGAGTAGCGGTCTTTCTGCTTTCTTTCAGCTGCATGACGCTTTCCTCCATCCAAAATCGCAGGCCTAACCTGGCCGTGTAAAACAATACCAGGGAAGCACCTCTGATGGAAGGGGATGGGGCACCTAAGGCCCTGTCCCTCACCATTTCTCATCCTCCCCACTCCTAACAGACACTTTGATACTTCCGTGAAACCTGGATCTAAAAGCTCTGAGCTCATTAAATCTATATATAACTATCCAAGGAAATAGTATCCCCACTTTTCTAATATAAAGCTAAAGGCCAAAGAGGGAGTGTGTAGGACCATACAATTTTTGTTTGTTTATGTTTTTTGTTTTTGTTTTTGAGATGGAGTCTCGCTGTCACCCAGGCTGTAGTGCAACGGTGTGATCTTGGCTCACTGCAACCTCCACCTCCCTGATTCAAGTGATTCTCCTGCCTCAGCCTCCTGAGTAGCTGGGATTATAGGCACACGCTACCACGCCCAGCTAATTTTTGTATTTTAACAGAGACGGGGTTTCGCCGTGTTGGCCAGGCTGGTCTCAAGCTCCTGACCCCAGGTGATCCGCCTGCTTTGGCCTCCCAAAGTGCTGGGATTATAGGCATAAGCCACTGCATCTGGCCCAGGGACATGATTATTAAAGGGGAGACAGCCAGACTGGGGAGGCAGGTGTGCTCCATTCTCAAGCCCATGCTTGCGCTGGCTCTGCTGGGAGGACAGTAGGTGCTTTGCTTCCTAAGGAAGGGCAGGAAGGGGCGTGGCTCCTCCAGCTGTACAGAGGACCAGGCCAGATACACATGGCCCTGTTTGGTGCTTGGCTCTCTGGTAAACTGCCTGCCACGGAGGAACTCAGGTAGGACAAGAGAACCGTGGGTGGTGGGAAACACATGGGGAATGGGTTCTGCGCCGCCAGTGAAATGGTCTTGCAGCCCGCCAGGCTCCGACGTGGCTGACTTTAGAAGAAATCAGCCAGCCATGGATTGCTGGAGATTCAGACACAAGCTTTCCAGGCCCTGATGAGTCCTTTTTTTCTTCCAGGACAACTGGGGTTTGAGACTGTAAGCTGTGACCCAGATCTTGGTTCCCATTTTGCACATGAAGAGAAGATTGGCCCTTAAAAAGCAAAATGCTTTTTAAAAAAAAGAATTCACTTTTTTGCTTGCAATCTATTGTTTGCTTATAATCTTATAATGAGCATCTATTTGGATTCAGAAATGCCTGGGTCAAAAAGTGATGTCGGTGCTAAGACCTGACTTCCTGCATCTCAGTTGCCTCCTCTGTAAGATGGCATCACAAACACTCCCGGTGCCATCGGGCTGCTGTCACTGGTTCTTGTGTGTGGAAATGTCAATCCCAGGGCCTGAGGTGTGCAAAGTCAATAGTGGTTCTCTCCCTACTTCCACCCCCTGGTTTTTCTCAAAACCCGTTGAATGTAGAATGTGTCCTAAATGGAAGTACTTCCACGGGGCACTGAGAGGATGGGTGATCTCTTCTCACTGCAGTCAACTGGCTGAAATGCTCACCTTTTCATTTTAGCATGTGAGAGGTGACATTCTGATCCCCGGAATTGTAAACTCAGACTCTCAGAGAGCTCAGGATGGCAAAATCCAACCTTTTCATTTTTAAGATGGGGAAATTGGTTTGCACAATGTCATGCAGCAGGTTTGCGGCAGAGCTGGAACCCACACCTGCTGATTCCCAACCTGGTGCTCTGTCTGTCATCCTGGGTGACAAGGAGCCATGGAGGCCACAGGGAGAAAGGACCATGGGATGCTGTCTTGATCCCTCTGTCCTGTGACTGTGAGGGAGGCTCACTCTGCTCTATGAGCCCCATCACATGGTGTCATGTGTGGGGGTGAATGGAGCCTCCCTCATAGAAACAAAACTCCAAGAACTAGAAAGAGCCAGGTCGTTATCCAGATTCATAGGGAGAGCAAGCTCCTACCAGAGGCATCGAGGGGTGAGGAGGCCCACCACACTTGGAGTTGAGTCCCATTCCTGCCTCTTGCCAACCATGTGTCCTGGGCAGGGGATTTTTCGAGCTGAGCCTGCTTCCTTACAAACTGAGGAGAGTAAAATTACAAACCTATAGGTTATTGTGAAGATTCAACAAGTTAATATAATACTAAAACTTAATGAGCGTACACTATGTGTCAAGTTGGGTTCTAAACCCTTTATATGTATTTGCTCATTTAATCTTCATCACAACTCATAGTTTGCTGCTAAGGGAATGGAGGCTCAGGATGGTTAAACAAACCCCGGGGACAAAATTGGAGAGGACAGTGTAGATTTTGAGCCCAGGTAGCCTGGCTCTGGCACCCCACTCTTAACCACTGTGCTCTTTGACCTCAATTTTGGCAGAATCCAGTGCTTAGCACATAGAAGCTCCAAAAACGTCCACCCCTCCCTTGCTGTCTGTAACCTTCCTTCCTCATCCACCCTGTCTGGCCCTCAAGAGTGGGTTCTAGAAGCAGGGTTCTGTTATTTCTCAGATACCAAAAGTTGACCCAACTCGATTGCTCTATCTTGAGTTGTTTTACTTCTCTGTTTTGTTGTTGGTTTTGGTTTTTATTGCTTATTCTTTGATCAAAAGCAAGACAGAATTGCCTACCAAGGCAAATCTGATTCTGTGCTCCTGAGCACCAAGCTAGCCTCAGTGCTCAGCTCAGCTCCTAATGCCAACCAGTGAAGGAGCATGGTTTCTTGGCTTCTAATGGCTCACATGCATGGCTAAAGCCCCAGCCCCACACCGGCTTCTTGGATACAGCTGACCAATTTTGGGGAAAAATACACCTTCTTGTTTGTGGGTTTCTGGCCACACTTGTTCAATTTCCTGGTTACTATAGAGACCTTGTCAACACATCCAAATACTCTTCTTAGCAAAGAAATTTGTCTTCTCCCGTCTCTGTATAGCCCCAAAGAACACAGGGTCTCAGGAAGAAGCAGGAAAGGCTTAGCCTCTGGGCCTTCTGAGCCCACCCCAGGCTCTGGTTCCCTTTTAGCTGCTTTCACACTTTGAGCCTACAGAGGATAAAATGAGGGAATGAACAAGGAGCACTGTTTGAGTGGGACTAAGCTTCAGGGCAAATAAAGGGAAGTGAATCAGAATAACGGAGAATCTGGGCAGAGTATTTAAACATTCAAATTTCTTTCTTTTTCCAGTGACCTAAGGACAGGCAATCTGCCCTGGGAATCTGGATCCCTTACTCTTAATATTATGACTGGAAGGGCAAGGTCAGCGCTCCCAGTGGACCGGATACTAAGGTTGGGTCTCAGGTCTGCTCCTGACTGCCGAGGCCAGCAGCTACAGTGCATTTATACAAATGGTTAGCGGAGCTCCCAAGCTGCCTCCCGTCTTTCCATCTCTGCTTATTGAAAGCTTACCCGTGCTTTATGACCCCGCTCCGATGCCACCACCTCCAGAAAGACTTAGAATCGATCTCCTCTTTCGCCCTCGTACCTCTCGTTATAATCTCATCTCTCATCACCTCCTGCCCGACGTCATGGTTGCTTGTATGTCTGCCTTTATTCCAGAGATTCTCATCAAGCTGTAATTATGGGGCAGGCCCAGAGCTAGTCACTGGCAATGAGAAAGATCCAATCCCCATCCTTATTTCAGGGGCTCCCATATGCTCAACAGCCTGGCAGAGACGGACAAGTCCACATGTAATTAAAGCAAATGGAGAGGGATGTGCTGAGAACCTGGGGCATCTCTGCCTGCAGATGGGGAAGGGGTGATCCAGGAAGGCTTCCCAGAAGTGATGATGCCTGGCTTACATCTTAAAAGATGAGTTTCACAGAACAGCATAGGGGACAGGAGAGAAGGGACAATTCACAAAGGCGGAACAGCATGTGCAAAGCCAGGAAAGTGTGAAGTCTTCAGGGAAGGAGCCCCAAGGAGCCCAGATGGCCAGTGTCAGGGGCATCCTGAGGTGGAGGGGCAGGAGGTGGGATTGGGCAGGCAGGGACTGTCAGACGGCAGAGGACCCACTATGCACTGCTTAGCAGCTTGGGCTTTCTCCTGCCAGCCGTGGGGAGCCATGGAAAAGTTTTCAGGAGGCAAAAGACCTGACAGGGTTTGTCTTTTAAAAAGACAACTGGGGCTGCTGAGTGAAGGATGGATGGTTGAGAGGCAAAAGGTGAAGCAGGGAGGCCAGCTAGTAGATGGTGGCCTTCATCCACACCATGGTGTGGACCGAGTGATAGCAGTGGAGGTAGAAGTAGGAGGATTTGAGATCTGTTTAGGAGGCAGAATTGGCAGGACCTTGTTGTTGACGGGATGGGAGAGAGAAAGGGTGAGTCGGAGATGACTCTCAGAATTGCAGCATCATTGGCCAGGGTGGATGATCAGATCTGAGGAGGAAAGTGGCACTTTTGGCTTAGGAAATGCTGATCTAAGGAGCCTGAGGGATACCTCAAGGTGCATCTAGATGCCCTTCCCTCCTCTTTCCCCTGCTCCCTAGGCCAGCCCTTGCTGTGGCTTTTCCTCCAACCTGTTGTCTAGGCCCACACTAAGGTGGTAGCTTGGAGTTAGATCACCAGATTTGGAAAAAGTCACCAGACGAATGTACTCCTACTGCAGATATTTGAGTTGGACTCCATGTGCCCTGCCTCCCTGGGGTTTTCAAACTTCCAGGAGAAATCCAGGAGAAAGAGGACACAAACAGTGGAATTCCAGGTTTGTTAGGAGAGAGATTTAGCAAGTCCTTCTCTAGGGCCTGAAAACACACTTGCTCAGGCTGCTGGGCCTGCTCCTCTCAGGTCATGGTCCTGTGTGCCCTGGTCCAGCCCTGCAGCCTTCAGTCACGCACCCAGCCTGTACCACCAGCCACAAGGCCCCAAGTACATCCTTTGTTTTTCCTGGGCCTACTTCTTTATCAAATAACAGAATTGTGCTCCTTCTCTTCCCACCCCAACTCCCTTATCTTCTCTTCTTCCTCAGTGATAAGGAACAAGGACTTCAGAATCAGGTAGATCTGGGTGTAAATTTCAGTCCTACCACTTTCTACCTGTGTAAGTTACTTCACTAGTA